TCATTGTTATCGTTACAAAAAGTGCTAATAATTTATGACTTTCTACAAAGTTTACTAGTTGATTATTTGAGTTTTGATAAACTCATTAGATGATTAAAAAGTTCGTGGAACATAAGAGTTCCCCTCTCCAAAACGCTATTTTTTACCTAGTGCTACCTCAGTCAAATCGATTCATTAACTTCTGCATAATCGCCGAAAAAAAAACAAATAAGTCTGAGAGAAAACATTTAGAAACTTTAGTTTCGTATTGCGATTAAAGCAAAACTCGAGTCAATCCCTTGCGCAGAACCGACTGTTCACCTGGATGAAGAAAGTCGGTCAGAACTTAGGCATACGGACCGGCCCGATCACACAATAAAATCCTTTATAAATAACACCGCCCACACAACTGCAATTGTCAACAAAGAAGTGAGTCGCCGACAGAACCGAAACGTTGTTGGCAACATATAAGGCGACCAGGTACCAAATTATGATGGAACTGTGTGATCGTCGGGGTCGCAGTGGGTGACGTGTCAAAATGTTGCACTTAGGACTGCCAGTGGATGCCTTCTGATGTCGTCTGAGCACCGTTTACATTAGCGAAGCCGCAATTCTCTCCGTCAAGGAGCATAACATTCATAGAGTCGAGCCTCTTCCACGCACGTCTGAATCTCAAAGATAAGGGTCGACCCTACATACGCCTTACCCTTACCCAGACGGACTACACGACAGGCCATAAAAGGCGATCATCGAACGTCAAACAACATCTTCTTCAACTCTCGCCACGTATGTAAATGCGGTTATCGGATACCAACCACCCACTGAAAACGAAGAGCGCGAGCCCCGGAACATCGATTCATTCCTGCACATCCAGCATTAACCCCGTTTTGCCCAATCTACATTCAAAACGTAAATATGTCCTGCGCGACACTAACACATCTTCGCATGCCCACTCAAACTAACCCATCTAACGTCCTCAGACATTATTCGAAATGCTAGAACATTAATCATTTTAAGAAAAGGATTGTTACTGGGGAAAAAATCTAGGTAGTAATCCTAGTAACGAAATTATTGAGTGGAAAGATTATGGGACTGGGAAGACATATTTTTGGAAGATTATAAAGAAAAGGGTTAATTTATTACACGAGAACAAGATGATTAAGGAAAAAGGGAATATAAAAAGGACCCGCCTGTTCTAATGCGAGGACTGGCCTGCACATAGGTACCAAAAGAAAATAAAAGAATGAAAATAACGCCTCATTTTAGACCCCGTTTTTTAGATGACATACTTAGTAACTTGCAAGATAAACCGTAATCAAAGTCGACGAAATAGCGGCATGGAGGATTTCGAAAAACAAAACCAACTATCTACCAACATTGCGTACAAATGCAACAACGAGCAGAGCAACGCAGCAACAATTGGTAACTGAGTTGAGCAAGAGAACTGGTCGAACCAGAATGGAAGAGACCAAGTTTTAAGCCAGCCACATGGTCGCACTACATGTGACGCAGTCAAGCGCATGCCAGCCAACGAGTCTACTTCGTAAGACCCCACCACCGCGACGCTGTCGTGCTGCCAGTCCGTTACTGCCCGACAAAGGCGATTATGTCAGCAGCAACATTTTGAACGGCGCTGGCGGCAGCTACCGGTGGATTTCACACTATGAATTTGACTGTAACGGCGTTAATAAGCCAACTCGATGAAGCAGCAATATACGGCGGGCACGGCTGCGCGTAACTGACGCCTTCACCATCAACGTGTTGCGTGCTTGCGTTGTCTCTCTTCTGGCTTCAGCGTGCTCCAATTGGATACCTCTCTTATTCTTATTTTTGCCACTTCATATTGACATAAATTTAATTCATACCGACAGACAGCGGCGTAAACAAATGTCGATGGTTGATGCCTTTTCGCTAGTAAAAAAAAAAATGTTAAGTAAATACTCAGCTCATGGAAAGCAATTCGTTTGCATGCGTTGTGCCAGCAGCAAGTATGCCAAATACATAGATATGGCTGATTTCGAATTTGAACATTTTTAAGTTGCGTTTCACTCGGAGTTTATTTGTAGTTAATTGAAATTAAGTTGTGATTTTCGTATTCTGGTTTGTTCGCTTTTTGTTTTATTTGCAGTTGTAGCGAGGTCGTCAAGCATGTCTGGCTAAAAAAAAATATTTAAATTTCAGAAAAAAGTTCGCAATTCTTCGTTTCGAATTTCGTTTGCGAACAGAAATGGTGAAAAAATTTGGGCAATGCTTTATCGGCAGTCAATTGCTTGGAATGGCAGACGAAAAAAAGCTACTTTGTCGATTAAAGTTTGTTGTTTAAATATTTTTCGATATCTACATATTACTTTTTGTAGATGTTATGCATGTGTATTTTCACATGTACCAAATATGTGCCAAAAAAAGTATATTTCTTAAATTTCCGATTATCGAATTCAAACCTCGAGTTATAAATTTTATAAATTCGCCTAAAGCGGGTTTTATTTAAATTTATTTTTAACGGTATGAATTTTTGGGTATCGTTATCGATGTATTCAGTTATATCGACAGCGAAATTTATATTAATATCGGTACTAAAATATTTATGGATACATTATGTACATACAAGTTTTTTTTTGAAGAATTACACTGGAATACAAAAAAAGTCTCTGCATGTTGAACCAAACCTGTATATCCCTATGTTATTCGACGCCCTGAATACGAATCCGAGGTCTGTTAGCCTCCATCACGTCAGGTTCGAGCTCATTTGAAGGTCAAGTAGGTAAAAATTCATTGAATAAACCTGAAAATTCAAGACAATTCATCTGAATTTGACCTTGAGGAAACAAGGGACCCCCATATTCGGATTCAGCGACAACAAAAACAAAAAAAAATATTTTTATTTAATAAACTGTTTGTCCTATTTTACCCTCAAATGACTTCGAACCTGATATTATGGAGGTTAACGGACCCCGGATTCTGGTTCAGCGACTCTAAAACCCCATATATGTATATGAATTTTCAGGTTTATTCAATGCATTTTTCTCTACTTTACCTTCAAATGATCTCGAACCTGACGTGATGAGAGCTAACAGAGCTCGGATTCGCATTCAGCGCGTCGAATAACTTAGAGATATGGAGGTTTGGTTCAATAGACAGAAACTATTTTCTTTTAAAGGTGTTATTAGTGGATTGTCCATGTATTACATTGCGGGAAGCGAGGCCGTCGTCGAGCTGGTAACAAACGATTTATCGGAAGTTATGTATAAATATCTGAGGAAGGTAATCATCGGTAGTATTCCCTAATAAAACATTAAGGCCGCGTATGATCAAACCAGGTTTGTCACAAGGCGCCCTCTAGACAACTCAGGGAGTCTCTATAGTCTCAACCGCCGATACTGCCAGCCGCAACCTAGCTAGAATTTTCAATGCGCGTAACGCCTAAATATTAGCCGCCAAGTCGACAGACGCACTTTTTATCATCTGAACGAAGGAAGTGAGGCTCGACCAGAATTTGGATGGCTGTGGAGTCGCAATTTTGACTGTCAACCACCTAAAGCTATTGGCCGTTGAGTTCGACAACCTCCTATGCTTCTCGGTGCATTGCAGGCAGCGCTTGGGAGAAATCATAAATAGATCCTGGGTGGTCCATACAAATTTTTCGGTATATATATTATTGTTTTACTCGAAGGAGCAAACCTTCCCATTATTGCTGAAATACGATTTCATTCATATGGCTGGCACGGCTGGCTTCGCAGTAGCGCATCCACTTAACCCAGACCTTGGTGACGGTTTCTGGCTCTATCTCACGAATGTCCTGCTCGATATGAGCATTACGGGCGTGAATCGTTAATGGATTGTTGGCATAACATTGGTCCATCACGGCCCTCAAAAAAACGTCAATTGAACGAAAAGGCTGATAACACGATTACCAAACATGGCGCGCCATCCTGCTGAAACCAAAGATCTCCAAGTGCATTCTTCAATTTCTGGCGACGAAAAATCGTTTAGCATGCCTCTGTAGCACTCACCGTTGAATGGCATTTCAAAGAGAATAGGCCAATGCAACCCTATGAGGATGCACTGGATTCTCGACGATCACGTGCGGGTTTTCTGATCCCCAGATGCGGCAGTTTTATTTGGTAGCATAGCTGCCGAGCTTCGTCCGAAAAGATGATTTTTCGATTATTCAATAAATGTAATCTTTGGGCTAGCCACAACTTTGACTTCGGAAATAAGTGCGCATTATGTCCCGACGTTGTTCAAGCATGATCCGATTCATTTCGTTCTGCGAACAAATGATACTGACTTGCTGTCAAGATTTCCAGCACGAAGCTATCACTGTCAAAACAACATATGCTTAAAAAAAAGAACACTATGTGGACCACCCGTTATAAAGTACCAACCGCCGCATCAACAATCTGCAGCGCGAGGCTTCCAATACCAATGAACCTCGGCACAAAATCGTCGTTGAAACGCCTTTACGCATGGCCTACGTAACCCACCTCTATGGGAATAATATTGGAGGAGACAGAAGAGGTAGAGTAATAAGAAAATAATCCTATTTGGGGCAAAGTGCTGCTGCAACGAAAAGGTGTTAACAAGGATTTCATCGATCGTTTCTTAGGAAGGCGAAGCTTTTTGGAAGGCTGATTGAGACCATCACTAAATCTGGTTGGCTAGTCCGACTTAAAGTTTGCATCTGCAATGGATGGTTTGTTATTTGAGAAAGAATGCCGCTTCTAACTGGAGGAAAAGGGGGTTGTACTTTCGATTTACGTATCAACGTTGCTTCTTCATTAGAAATACTTAATTCTACTCTGGAAGGAGTATTTGAAATTAGAGATACATATATAATGGGTAAAATTATCAATGGATGAATAAGTAGCCAACTTTGTTAGTGAATTGACATCCTTTAACTGGACAAGAGACCGGGTGGACGGACCCAACAATATAAAAATGGTTCAAATGGTAATTTTGGAAATTATGCTCTTGCACATTTAATTTTTATAAAATATTATAAATATTAAATTTACACTTACCAATAAACCAGTCTCCACATTAGGGATCAATATTATTCTGGAACCATCCATGAGATTATTATCTTTTAGTGTGCCATCTTGTAGTTCTCTGTAAAGAAAGAAAAGCAATAGATACTTATATTTTTAATTTCAGTTGAAAGATTTTTGGTATCAAAAGGTAAAACAAATTTACTCGAGTAATGCAGTACTGTTCAGATAAAAATTACCACTGCATATACTGGTGGCAGAATAAACATATATTTCTTTGGTTTATTTAATGCTTCATAATTTTTATAAAAGTCTAGATAGTTAAGCAACAAACACTATCCAAATCCACGTTTTAAACTTTGTACAAAAATTATAAGAAATCTACAAATTGTCACTAAAATTTCAAACTTTTTAATCAGAATTTAGAAGTTTCAATTGACAACAAAATATCGTTGATTTTAAATAATTTTGCTGGCTGTGTCACGCATTTCTTTCCATGTTCGAAGACTTTTTATATGGAAGAGAATTCCATTTGAAACTTGCACTTTATTGTACTAAAACTGAATGAGCTCTAAAACGGCATAACAAAAAATTCTGAGTTTTTTTAAATTTTGGTGTAAATTTGTTGAATTTGTAAAATTTTTACAAAGTTTGAAATGTGGATTAATATGGTGTTTGTTGTATAAGGTATCATATATTCAGCTACCAGTATATGCAGTGGTTACTTTTATCTGATCAGTACTGTGTATACGAAGATGCAATAGCAATCATAATCTTCGATAACGGCAAATAAATCGAAACAAATATTGTAATATCGATAAATAAAAAGCAACATCGATAAAATACACATGGTTATCGATATCGATAACTACATACATACGTAATAATTTGTAAATCGATAAAAATACCGACAATATGTACATACATATGTATGAATATCATAAATGTATGTATCCCCACATGTATAAATATTTGATGCCTTTAAAATTGCGTATTTTAGTTGAACAATTTTTTCTAAGAAAATCCGCGTAAACAGAAAGTGAATGCACTGATTTTGACATTAAAGGTCTTACATTAGCGGAGATATTCCGTTCATTAATTTAATTTCGTAGCGAGTGTTCTCTTTGTTTGTGTTGTTATTATGGTATTTTGGTTAATTCGTTTTTTACACATATTTGCTTGCACGAATTAAGTATTACAGATTAAGAATTTAAACAAATTGGTGTTGCATTCAAAACCAGAAAGACGTGTGTCACAGAGTCAAGCAACAACACACACACACACATGCAACAACTGAAATCTTCTCAGTTCAAGCACTCAATCGACTCGTGCGACAACTTTGTCCAAGTGTCAAAAGTCGAGAGTTGTTCGATCAACTCAAATGTATATATGTATCTATGTATTTAGGTATGTACATACCCTGCAGGCAACGCAGCTAGTTTATAGCTAACTATAACTACTCAGCAGTCAACTAGTTGTATCTTTTTACTAACTACTTTTGCAGGGCGATGGCCGCAAAAAAGTGAGAGCTGGTTTGCTCTACATTAGACGTCAACTAACTTGTAGCTAACTATTTTTGGACATAAAATATAAATAACAAAGATTATTTAAATTTTTTAAATTCTTATTTATTTACTTTATTTAACATTACATATTTGCCTATTTTGTACATGTTCTTTTGTAGGTGGTCCCATATTTTTGAACTCCATCAGACATAACAGCAATTTCGATCTTTATTTTATTTGTCCTGAATTCGAGAAAGCATCTACGAAGTGCAGAAAAAGTGTATTCAAAGGAATTTTTGTATGAGGATATTTAAGTAGAAGGTTGTTTAGTGAAAACAAAAACTCCCGATAACGCCTGCATGACTCCTGCACGACTTTACAACTCACTTAATGTTAGTTTTGTGATAGCTAATTAAAGTTAGTTATTTATCAAAATCCGGCACAAAAACTAATTTGTAAGTTGGTTATTCTTTATCAATTGATATTTTTTTTCTGCGGGGTATGTATGTATATAAGTAGTACGTATATATATAAATACATAGTATGTGTGCAAATAAGTACGATTATTTAAAAAATTGCAAGATTCTCGTTGCGACTTTTTTCGGAGTTTTATTTATTTGCATTCGTATTTACTTGAATTGAGCTGCTGCTTCTTTGTTTCATAACATCATACAACTTTTATCATTTTATTTCATTTTGCAACCGAGTTACAAATAAACATAAGCAGATACATTTTTACATGCAGTTGGCAGGTGTTAAATTAATTAAATGTTGAATTAAAATCAACCATTGGGCGCTTAATTAGTACATTGTAAACAGTCAACAGAGATGAGGGCCTATAGGACAAAAGTTGCGAAACTAGAGTGAAATCTTCTTAAAATAGTATTGTATACTCATACTATCTAGGTGTATGCACTTAAACTCGCATACAACTGTACGCATGTGTTCACTTAAATGGGTACAGCTAATGGTATAATGGTATATTCTTGAAAATTAATATTTTTTGCATCGGAAAACTCTGTTTCTCTTTAAGACTCTTCTACCCAATTGTTTATTTAACCACTTTTTAATATTAACTTTTTTTTATAATTCCCCCAAAACCCCCAACAAAAAAATAATAATAAAAAAAATTGAGTTTTCCGATCGAAAATTATTGATTTTCAGGAAATCGATACCATTTCTAGGAAAAACTGCATGGGTTTTGAGGCAGTTATAAATATATATATATATATATACTTTTTTTTTAACTAAAAAATGCGAGTATTCTTTTTTCAATTTGGAAAAATTCTAAAATTAAAGCTTTTTTTTGGACCACCCTAATGTACATGCATATACATGTAAATATTTTTTTGAATACTTTTTAATATTGTTTTAATATTCTTTAGTACTTTTGAATTTTTTAATATTTCTTATTTTTACTCTTAATTTTTAACCTTTTTGACGGTAATTCTGTTAATAAGCATTATTTTTATTTGTAATTATTTGAATTTTTATTTTTAACCATTTTACTTTAGTTTTTTAGTTTTTATTTTTTATAATTTTTTAGTTCTAATTTTTATGTTTTTTTATTTACTTCAGTTGTTATTTTTAAAATTATTATTTTTTAAATATTTACATTTTAAATTTAGCTATTTTTGATTCAAACGCTGTCTTAATTTTTATTTTAACCTTTTTATTATTTTTAACCTTTTTAATTAAAATTATCTATTTTGTTTGTGAATTTTAAAGTTTTTATATTTTTTAGTTGTTATTTTGTATTATTATTTAATTCGTATTTTTTAAATTTTAAATTTTTTTTTTTATTTTAGATTTTATTTTTAAAATTCTAATTTTTCAAATATTTTTATTTTAAACGCTGCCTTCAGACTAGTTTAAATTTTAATTAAATGTGAGCAACTTCAGCTTTTTCATATTTATTCAGTTGACCAATACATGTTTTGTATAAATTCATTTTTTTTTGGATTCTTTCTAATTTTTGGAACCCCCTTTGTTTTTATACCCGAGCGCACTTGTGCACAAGGGTATTATAACTTTGTTCACATAACGGTTGTTTGTAACAGGCAAAACGAATCGAGATAGATATAGACAAATGTATACATAAATGATCAGGATTAAAAGAGAAATCGATTAAGCGGTGACTGTCTGTCCGTCCGTCCGTCTGTGCACACGATAACTCGAGTAAAAATTAAGATATCTTAACGAAACTTGGTACGTGTACTTCTTTCGGGCGTAGGACGGATGGTATGGGCAAAATCGGACAATAACCACGCCTACCTCCCATATAACGGTAATTTTCAGAAATACGAAAACTGCGATATTTTAGTAACTACTGAAGATTATTAACTCAAAATTGATATTTACAATAATTTTTAGACGAAAAATAAGAATGTTATAAATTTTTGAAAAATGGGCGTAGCCACGCCCACTTATGGTTACATGTGTATATCTTGGCAACCGCTGCACCGATTTCTTCCAAACTTGGCACAGTTATTGGCCTTGGTACAGGATACCAAATGGCCGAAAATTTTTAAAATCGGACAATAACCACGCCCACATCTCATATAACGGTAATTGGTAAATCAGTAAATATTAAAGCCAATTTATTCAAAATTGATGCTTGCAACAATTTCTTACCAGGAAATACGTCTATAATAAAATTTTGAAAAATGGGCGTGGCACCGCCCACTTATGATCACATATATGTATCTCGGTAACCGTTCTACCAATTTGTACCAAACTCGGTATTTTTATTGTGCTTGCTACATAAAAGCAAAACGATGAAAATTATTGAAATCGGACTAAAATTATGGCTTTTCATATAACGGTAAATTTTAGAAATGCTTGAAACATCAATATTTTGAAATTTAAGGACGCTAATTTACTCAAAATTGATACACCCCGGCTTACCATGTAGCGGTAGCTTTCGGAAAGGTGAAAATCATATATTTAATATTTGCGCCGGGTATTTAATGTTCGGCTCCGCCCGAACTTAGACTTTCTTACTTGTTCATTATTCGTTTTAATTATGTAGTTCTTAGTTTTAAAATTTTTAATTATTTTTTGTTTACATTTTTAAATTATTCTTTTTGTAATTCTTATTCTGTTTTATTTCTTTATTACTTACTTTTTATTTATTTAGTTGTTAACCAATCAACAGCTGTTATTTTTAGTAGTATCAGAAAAAGAAAGATATTCCCCCTCTGGTAACTACGCACTGTGAAATTGGCCCTGAGTGCAAAATGCTGTGAGTTTTTCAGAAAAGAAGTGTACACAATTTTCAGAGTGCACATGAAAACTTACAGTTACAGAATACGCAAAATTTTCATCGCCTAAATGAAATGTAACCGCCTAAGAGATTTTGGTGATAGCGATTTGCAGAATCCTACTGAAGGACACTTTAAAATTTTCATGAAAAAAACTAATTTTTTAATAAACCGTTTTTGGGCAGTAAAATATGGATGCTTGAAAGATCTACATCTAAGTTTTCAGAAACTTCGCCGTAAGTAAGATTTTCAAAGTAATATTCGGCAATTTTTTACGTTGCATTTTATGAAAACTTTAAAAACCCCGTAGTTTTTTGACCGATTTTCATCTTACATAGCCTTTTGATTATCAG